GTGCTCCCGCTCGCCCCGCCCCCGGGTGGGTGGTGCCCACTCTTCGGACAGTTGCCTGTCACGCCCCTGCCACGCCCCCAGAACCCTGCAATGTCCCTAGCTGCTACCTTGCTGGGTGCACAGCCAAAGGTCTCCAGCGCCCGAGGCAGGTGACAGGTGGGCCAGGATGCAATCAGGATGGAGCGAAACCCTGGACGCCAGAGCCTCCCTACGCCAGGTTCTCCTTGGAGTCTGGAATTTTGGAGGTCCCTTGAGGGGGCAGGGTTGTGGCGGGGGGGCTGGGAGAGTGTCCAGGGTTTTCATCAGATTTTCAGGGTTCCTTGAATCCACAAAAGTTAAGAATCATGGCTGCACAATGAAGGAAAAAGCACATTAGCTATAGATTGTTCTTGAAATTGGCAAAAAGAAAGTACATCTGCATGTGTATGTGTGAATATAGGTATGCATGTAATAAGACACCATCACTAACATGATTACTCTAATACAATCAATAAAAATAAATTCATAGGGTAAGTGGTCCATCACAGAAAAATTTTGGTGATGTCTTTAGCAACTATTTATCTTTTAATAAATATAAAAAAAGAAAGACTTTAAAAAGGACACGCCCGCGGCCCCAGCCACATGCATGCCCCTTACCAAACATGGCTTTGGGGGTGCTGGCTCTCCCCAGCAGTCCCGGGTCCATCCAGGCTGCACTCCAGGATGGCAGTCTGGTCCCTGCGCGGCTCAGATCAGAGGGTGGCCCGGATCAGAGGGCGCGTGTGGCGCGCACTTAGACCTGCCTGGACTCTAGCTGCTGACCTTTTCTGCAGTGGGTGCCCTGGTGGCCTTAAAAAGTGTTTGCTGACCCTGGCCGCGGTGCGTGGTGAACTGTACCCTGTGACTTACCAGCTCTGGGTAACCTTGTTAGATGGAGCACGATATACGTAACCCTGCTTCAGGACTCAGCCTTTTTTCCCCATTAACATATTAGAAAGTTCAAAAAAACATGGAAGTGAGTTGGACCTTTGACCCCTGAGACGCTCTGGTTTCAAACAGGGGTTGAGCCCTACTAGCTGGACTCGCATAAATACAGTTGATTCGCTGGACCACCTGTCCTGTTTTTTCAACCGTTTCTCGTTTGTAGTTGCAGTGAAATAAAATCTTTCTAATTCTCTTATTTTAGTTAAATCAGAAAGAAGTCCCCCCACCCTGCCCCTGCCATGGTCAGGGGATGGAGGGGGGGCAGCAGTCCATGCATGGACCTGTTTCGCGCAGGAGGTGGGCTGGCCCCATTCTTCCCCTGACTTTTAATCTGCCGATAACTTTGCCTGGGAAGCTTTACAGCAACATGCTACCAAGGCCAAAACAGGCACCGCAAGTGAGGGCCTCTTCAAGATCACAGGGCATTTTTCACACAACTGAGTAGATTACTGCAGGATTTAGAACCAAATGAAGTCCTGTGAGACGCCTGTCACCCCTGGGATGAGGGCTGGCTACTGCAGGGGGAGCCTGAGACACGATTACTGTGGTCTATGCCCAGCCTACACGGTGCCCTTTAATTTCCACAGAGAACTGTGACCTGGGAACCACTAACCACTTTAGCTTTACAGAAAAAGGAACTGAGACTCAGGGCTGTGCAGTGTGCGACAGAAGTGCCATAATGCAGAGGTGAAAAGAAGGCCGCAGGGGTTCACCTCCCAGCTCTGTGGCTCCCAGATGAAGGGTCTTGGGCAAGTTAATGGGCTTTCTAAGCCACCGTTTCTTTTTCTCAGAAATTGTTTTAATAACTGTACTCACTTCAAGGGAATTTTTGGTCCAAGGTGGATGGGTGGTAGGAGTTTTTCTCCTGCCTGTGGATCACTGATGATAGGGAGGCACTAAGGCTAAAGACATCCCTGAATGCCTCCTGGGGAAAGGCTGACTGCAGAGTCCCTGGGATCTGGTCCATTCTTCAGGTCAGCAAAGCAGAGCATCCTTATCAAGCAGAGATGTGGCCCCTGCCTTCCCAGGAATTTTCTTTTACCTAAAAGACTGGGCCCTGGCTCCACCCCATGGCAACGTCCAATCAGGGCCATTTCCTCCCTTTCACTGTGCCCACCCTCCCTACAAACTAAAGTGGAATAGGTCCATGCTCTGTGCAGGTCCCTGACCTCCTCGGTCCCTGACCTCTGTTCCTACCCTGGAAGTTCTTCACTCGTTCAGCCAGGGGACATCACTGAACTTCCCCGGTGTTCCCCACACTTGGCGCCCAGTACTCTCACATGACAAAGACACTTTTCCAGGCCGGAACTATTCTGAACACTTTACAAGGATGAAGACATTTAATTTCCCCAACCGCCTGAGGGTTGGTACTGGTATCATCCTCATTTTACAGATGAGGAAACAAGCATAGAACAACTAAGAAACTTGCTCCAAATTGCAGATTTGCAGGTGGTGGGGTGGGTGTATAAGAAAGTTGTTTGATTCTGAATGCCAGATTGAGGCATTTTCAAGGGTTCCTGGATAACCTCTCCCATTACAGGCATGCCTTTCACAGTTTTAAATTCTTAGTGGAGGTTTAATTAATAAATTTTTATGGTACTCAATTTCTGAATGAGTTCTATATTGTTTCCAAGAAGTATTTTCAGATACTCTGTGCCTGGTGTGTGATCAGCATTCAATAAAAGCTGGACATGCCTGCTTTTGAGGAGATTCAGTGAAGGCCTCTTATGGGATGGCACTGCAGTGACATTGGTGAATGTGACAGCCTCAGTTCCCCCACCTCACAGAACCTACAGACCAATTTACAGATGAGAAAAGACTAAAATTCAGTATTGAGATTCATAGTATTACAGAACAAATACAGGATTGTTTCTTAATCCTTTAAAGTGTCATTTGCACATAGCCTCTTATCTACTTTGTCAGAATTTAGTCCTGTGATGTCTGATACCCTGTATCAGTCTACTTTTTGCTCCTGTGACAAAATATCTGAGCAAATCAACTGAAAAGAGAAAAGGTTTATTTTGGCTCACAGTTTCAGAGGTTTCAGTCCATAGTCACTTGGCATCCTTGTTTCTGGGCCGATAATGAGGCAAATATCACAGTGGGAAGCATGTGGTGGAGTAAAGCTGACCTTCACTTCATGGTGGCCAGAGATGGGGCAGGGCGAGAACAAAATATAGCCTCAAAGGGCCTCCTTCCTCCAATTAAGCCCTACCTCCCAAGTTGGAAAAGTTTTCTCCTCTCAGTAGTCCACTGAATTAGAATCTATCAGTGGTTTAATCTATATATGAGCAAAGAAACTTGAGCAAACTCGGAAGAGTTCCCTGGTCAGTAGCAGCAGCTGTTCTGAGCACATACACAAAGGAACAGGAGCTGTAACATGAAGCACGTTGAACAGCTCATTTTTTCCTTCATCAGTAATATCAGGCCCATGAGTTCTGAAATGTCCTTGGTTTCTGAGTAATTCTCTGGTCTGGTGACTGACTGCAGTCTTCTGAAGAGCGTCCTCCAAATATTCATGTCGAGTTGGAACCTCAGGGTGTGACTTCATTTGGAAAGAATTTTTGCAGATATAATTCAAGTCAGGCTCAAAATGAAATCCTATTGGAACAACAGACCTATGGGTGTGTAAGCATGTTCTGAAAATAGTGACAGGATGGGCAAACCTTGTGTAGCACTCATGATGGGCCCAGCACAACTCTGGGTGTTAACATGTGCACCAGAATTTTATCCTGGCAACAACCTCATGATTGTTAGCCCTCTTTTATGAGAGATGAAGAGAGGCAGAGGGAAATTCATAACCGGTCCAAAGTCATCACACAGGAGGGAGTCAGGGTGCAGATGTAGGCAGACTGGCTCCAAAGTCCTGGTTCCTCACTGTTTTTTCAAACACAAGGAACTTTACTGTCCATCTGTACTTTCTAAGAAGAGAATGCTAGACTATCAAAGGTCCCCAGACATGGGATGTGGTGTCAAGAAGAGGTGGTTAGAGAGAAGGGAAACTGCGGGAGGGAAGCCTTTGCAGAAGTGGCACCTGGAGTGGATGCAGCTGTGCCATGAGCTCAAGGGCATATGCGGGGGTTAACAAGTGAAGGGGGAGGATGGGACCCTGCAGTGACCTCCACCTCACTCCTACACACACTGCTGGATGCCAGCACCATGGAGCAGGCATGGACGGAGTGATGCCCAGTGTGCCAGGACAGCACACCAGAGGGACCCCGACCACCAGCACTCAGGAAGAGGGGGAAGAAAGGGCTTTCTGGAAGGTGATGTTTGACAGGGTCCTCTCTGGAGGAGTAGGACTTCCC